GGTTCTTTTTATTTTTAACTTATCAATCTATCTTCAAGTAATATTATATCACTCTACATATACTGTAAGACCTTACAATAATACATTTCCATTTCTTTCCTCCTGGTCTTTTTGTTATTGTTGTCATACATTTTTTTTTTTTCTTTTTTTTATTTTTTTCACTTCTGGCGTATTTGGCTATGTTGTCATACATTTTACTTCTACACAGGTCATAAACCTTACAATACATTGTTACTATTTTACTTTAAAAAGTCAATTATGTTTTAAAGGGATTTAAATAACAAGAAAAAAATATTTCTATTTATCCATGTAGTTACCATTTCCAGTACTCTTCATTCCTTTGTGTAGATACAAGTTTCTATCTGGTATCACTTTACTTTCTGCTTTAAGAATTTCCTTTACATTTCTTATCTGCTGATAATTAATTCTTTCATATTTTGTATGTTAGAAAAATATCTTTTTTTTTTTTTTTTTTTGAGACAGGGTCTTGCTCTATCACCCCGGGTAGAGTATAATGGCATAGTCATAGCTCGCTGCAGTCTCAAACTCCTCAAGTAATCTTCCTGCCTTAGCCTCCCAAGTAGCTGGGACTACAGGCGTGCATTACCATGCCCAGCTAATTTTCTTTTTCTTTTTCTTTTTTTTTTGTTTTGTTGAGATGGGGTCACACTGTGTTGCTTAGGCTGGTCTCAAATTCTTGGCCTCCAGCAATCCTCCTGTCTTGGCCTCCTAAAATGCTGGGATTATAAGCATGAGCACCTACACCTGGCCTCATCTTTGTTTTAAAGATATTTTGCTGGGTAAACATTTCTAGGCTAAGAGTTGGTTTTCTCTCTCCAATACTGTAAAGATTTTGCTCCATTTTCTTCTAGCCTATACTGTTTCCAACAAGAAATCTGCTCTAATCCTTATCTTTGTTTCCTTGTACATAACTTGGGTTTTTCCCCTTCTGTCTGTGTTTAAGCTTTCCTCTTTACCACTGGTTTTAACCATTTTAATTATTATGTGCCTTGGTGTAGCTTTCTTTATGTTTCTTGGGCTTGGAGCTAATTGAGGTTATTAGATCTATAGGTTTACAGAGTTCATAAAATCTGGAAAAACTTCAGCCATCATTTCTTCAAACATACTTTCTGTTCCCCATCCCCCCTTTCTCATTTAGATTGTCGAATTACATACATATTAGGCTACTTGAAATTTCCCCATAGCTCACTGATACTCTATTATATATTTACTTTAGTTGTTTTCTAATCTCTGTGTTTCATTTAGGATAGTTTCTATTGCTATGTATTTTTCCTTAAGTGTCTAATATGCCTTTATTACTATTCATTATACGTTTCATCTTAGACATTGTATTTTTCATTTCTAAAAGTTTATTTGGTGGGTCTTTTTTATTTATTTATTTTTTTTTGAGACAGAGTCTCGCTTTGTTGCCTAGGCTAGAGTGAGTGCCGTGGCGTCAGCCTAGCTCACAGCAACCTCAATCACCTGGGCTCAAGCAATCCTCCTGCCTCAGCCTCCCGAGTAGCTGGGACTACAGGCATGCGCCACCATGCCCGGCTAATTTTTTCTATATATATTAGTTGGCCAATTAATTTCTTTCTATTTATAGTAGAGACGGGGTCTCGCTCTTGTTCAGGCTAGTTTCGAACTCCTGACCTTGAGCAATCCGCCCACCTCCGCCTCCCAGAGTGCTAGGATTACAGGCATAAGCCACCGCGCCCGGCCGGGTCTTTTTTATTTTTAAGAGATGGAGTCTCACTATGTTGCCCATGCTGGCTTTGAACTCCTGAGTTCAAGTGATTCTCCCACCTCAGTGTCCTAAATAGCTGGGACTACAGGCATGCACCACCGCACCCAGCTATTTTGGGTATTTTTTTATACTTTCCACATCTCTATTCAATCTTTCCTCTTGCTTCCTGAATACATGGAATACAGTTATAATAATAACTGTTTTTATGGGGGCAATGTATTAGCTTCACTTAAAAGGAAACTCTTATAAATGATAGTCAAGTGCCATCTAGATCTTAAGGAGCTCCCATTTTCCGGCTCAGTCTATTGGAATAATATTAGGTTGTTTTTTTTTTTCTTTATCCCCTTTTCACTGGGCCCTTCCAACACAATGAATGGAGATATCACTAATTTAAGCAGCCCATCAGTGACTACCATAAGACTGTTTAGTAAGGAATGCCTTCCCATCATATTTTAGCCAGAACAAGTGGCTATATCCCTTGCAGGAAGCACTGCAGTGAATGTGTCTGTCAATGTCAACAGCTTACCTTAGACTACTGCAAAAGATAAGCTAATTGAATGACTTGAAAGTATCTTCCACTGGTCAGATGGTAAACTTTATTCAGTATTATTTACATTAAAAGTTGTACTTGATTGCAGTCTGTGAGGTTTGAGCATTCATATATAGGCCTTGGCAAGCCTATTTTTGTGATATGGCAGCAGAGATAGAACACTATGCATTAAAAAGCACTTTTTTTGATGATAAATTTAATCCCTCACCCCAAGAAGAAAGTTGAGTAAGTTGTGTTATCTGTGTCATCAACTTATTCTAGTAGCTCAGTGTTCACTCCTGTTATCTGCATATCTTCTGAAAAGAAATAGCTGTTATTAATGCCTTTTTGTTTTCCACTAAGTGTACATACGCTACTGAATATGTGTAGGAGTTTTATGTTTACCATTTGAGTCTTGCAACACTAAAGATATTCTGAGTATCAGTCGTGATGGTAATTTCTCTTTAAAAGATCCTTAAATGGAACATTGTTTTTGAGATCAAACTCCCCACCTTCACAAAAATGGCCAAACTGCAATAAATATTATGGTATATCAAAAATAATAACAACATTCAAGGCCAGGAGTTTGAGAACAGCCTGAGACCCCATCTCTACAAAAAACAGAAAAATTAGCTGGACATAGTCCCAGCTACTGAACTAAGAGACCCTGAGGCAGGGGAATGGTTTGAGTCCAGGAGTTTGAGGTTGCAGTGAGCTATGATGCCGCTGCTGCACTCTAGCCCTAGGCAACAGAGCAAGAGCCTATCTATAAAAAAAGAAAAAAATAACAATAACTGTTTTAATGTCTTTGTCTACTATCTGTTGTATCAGTTCTGGATTAGTTATGATTAAGTTTTTTCTTTATTTTTTTCCTGCTTCTTAGTAAGCCTGTTAATTTTTGATTGGAAGAAAGGCACTGTGAATATTATCTTGGTGGGTGCTGGATATTTTTATATTCCTATAAAAAATTTTGAACTTTGTCCTGTGATGCTGTTGAATTACTTGAAATAGTTTGATCCTTATTGATCTTGCTTCTGTTTTTAAGCTTTATTAGATAAAACCAGAGGAGTGTTTATTGTAGGTTAATTTTTTCTCCATTCCCAAGGCAAGACTCTTCTTAGTTTTCTACCTAATGCTCCATAAATTATGAGGGTGTTTTTCCACTGAAGATAGGAACAGTCACTATTCCTGGCCCTATATAAGCTCCACATATTGTTCCCTCTAATATGAATGGCTCTTTACTGGGATAATTTCTCCACATGAATGATCTGATCAGTTATCAACTGAATAGTAGAAGGGTCGGACCCTCTGCAGACATCCAGAATTCTCAGTGTAGCTCTCTCCTCTTTGGTACCCTGCTCTGAAAACTTTAGCTGCCCTGGTATCCCTGGATTCCTCAGCTCCACCTATTTAACTTAGGGAGACCACCAAACTTTGCCTAGATTCCTTCTCCCTGTTCCATAGTCTCCGTACTTTGTCTAGACAAAGAGCCATTGTTGAATCTGGATTTTCTTTTTTAATTTTAGGCAGGAGGGTATATCTGGTCCCTGTTATTCCATTGTGGCCAGAAGCCACTGTATGATTATTTCATCCTTAATCTCTCATTTACTCATCCTATACTTTAGTTCCAGATAAGTCAATCCTACAGACTGGAGCTAAGAGAGCTAGAAAAGTGGGCTTCAGTTACACCACTACTATCAGCTACACCTAGAATATGGAAATATCAGAATTTCCTAGCTATATTTCCCTCTACTCATTAGAGGAGACTACCACAAAACCAGCCAAAGCGATTTGACATCCTTAAAAGTAGAGACCCCATACCCATGTCAAATTCTGACTAAAAAGAATAAGTAAAAAAAAAAAAAAAAAAAGTAGAGACCCCAGCTAATGAAAGTCTATTTGCCTTTGCTTTGTTGGTGTAAAAAAAGAAAGACTTTTTTTTTAAAAAAAAAAAAGAAACTTTAGATCTCCTACATCCAAAAAGGTGAACAGAAAAAAATGTATTTTTCATTAGTCAAAACTAAACATAAGAATCCTACCATATCACCCCATTATAATAGTAGCTATGTGCTTATTAGCACTTTACATAATCTTATTCAAAATTCATAACAATTATTTTTATTTAAGAGACAAGATCTCACTCTATTGCACAGGCTGAAGTGCAGTGACCCACTGCAACCTCAAATTTCTAAGCTCAAGTGATCCTCCTTTCTCATCCTCCCAAGTATATAGGACTACAGGTGTGTGCCACCACATCCAGCTGATTTTTAAAATAATTTTTTATAGAGACAAGGTCTTGCTATGTTGCCCAGGCTGGCCTCAAACTCTTGGCCTTAAGCAATTTTCCTCTCTCAGCCTCCCAAAGTGCTGGGATTATAGGCATGAGCTACCATGCCTAGCCTCACAATGATCATTTTAAATATGTCTCATTCCTATTTTACTGATAAAGAAACTGAGGCTTAAAAAGATTAAGTAACTACCACAATAATGCCAACAACTAGTTAGTGACAAAATGGAATTCAGGCAATGTTTAACCATGCCCTTAACCTCTATGTAATACTATGTTCTATAAAGTTTTTTTGAACCACAGACTTCCTTACTGAAAGGCTAACCTCAGATCATGCAGTCTGAAACACTGACACCTACTCACCCTGAATTCAGGATCCCCACATGGAAAATGGAAGGTTTCTACCAAATTACTACTTATTACTTTACACTTACCTGCTTCACCTCACATGAGCAGTGGTGAAGAAATCGGTGCTGGGTGATCTCATGAAATACTTTGTGCAGTTTGGTCCCAAACTCCTGTGTGTCAGCTGCCTACAATGAACCAGAAATGGAACATGCTGAGTTCTAGTACTAGAAAGCAAGGGAGAAGTATTCACAGAAGTTCATACAGGGAGAGGATGAGGCAGACTGGAAGGCAAACCACTGGTATTGCTCACATGGCATCAGAGGTTTCCTTTGTCTCTATGAGGGCAGGAGAGGCAGAAAGAAGGCCTGGGATACTGGGCGTGAGTTAGGTGGTTGTGGCCCCTGTATGTCTTCCCACTTGTATCACCTAAGCAAGATCCTTCAAACAAGGTCTTTGTTCTCCTGGCTCTGTAGGAGATAAATACTCCAGGGATCCATCTATTTAGAAGGGGTTATATAAACTACTCTTCTATAAAGCAAGTTTCCAAGAGAGCAGAGGTCCACTGAACAACTGAGGCTGATATGAGACCTTTTCCTCAGATAAGCCTTTTTAGGGAGGAGAGGGACAAAACACAGTTTGCACCCATAGGGAATGGGTCATAGCCTTCTACATTTTAAAACAGAATTGTAGGATATTAGAGTTAAAGGGGACCACAGAGTAATCACCTAATGCAACACAGTAATAATATAGATGAGAAAATTTAAATTCCAAAAGGAAAAGTGACTCTCCTAAGATCTCACAGCTATTTAGTACAAAAGTTAGGGCTTTAATGCATACCTTCAAATTCCCAATATAGAGTTCTTCTCTCTACTCTGTGCTAGCCACATGACCTGGAAAGGTGAAGCTAGGACAAAATGCACTAACTTATAAAGGTGTTAAACTCTTTGATTTATAATTCCATCTATAGAAATTTATTCTAGGAAATAATTCAAAAGAAGTTATCATATATATCAAGGTATTGCTGAAGCACTATTTACATCAACAAAAAGACTGTAAACAACTTAAATGTCTTACAGAGGAATGACTTATTAAATTAGGTAAAAATACTATAGTGGAATATTAGTTAACTGAAATGAAATTCTAAAACTGTTGAAACAGGGAAAAATGTCAAATTATATAAGAAAATAGAACGTTTTGGTTATAATTATATATGGGATGAGCAAAAATTTTAAATGGTGATAAAATTTATTAGCTATTATTTCAAATTGTGTGTGTTATACTATCTTTCCAGAAAAAACAAAAGAAAAAAAAACTGAAGCAAGAGACATGGAACTAATGTGTTCCCCATTGATAATATTAATACCGGTTGGTCAGCACACATTCCTGAAAGGAAGAAAAGAAGCTAACATTGAGAACTTATACACCACACACTTTCACACTGTCTTATTCCTTTTTGGCTGCTATAACAAATCACCATAGGCTGGGTGGGTTATAAAGAATGAAAATGTCTTTCTCGCAGTCCTGCAGGCTGAAATATGAGATCAAGGTGCCAGCACGGTCAGGTTCTGGTGAGGGCCCTCTGGTGAGTTTCAGACTGCCTGCTTCTCCCTATGTCCTCATGTGGCAGAGAGGCAAGGGTCTCTCTTGGGCCTCTTTCATAAGAGCACTAATCCCATTCATGAGAGTGGACCCTAATAACCTAATCATCTCCCAAAGGCCCCAAACCTCCTAATACCATGACCTTGGAGGTTAGGATTTCAACATATGAATTTTGAGGAGATACAAACATTCAGGCCATAGCATGCATGTAGTCTTCACACTCATAATAATGCTGTGAGGTACTATCACTATTATTTTTTCCAATTTGTAGGTAGGGCTTAGAGAAGTTAAATACAGGCATGAAGTCCACATAGCTAGTAAGTAAATGAGTCAGGATTTGAACCTAAACCTTTGATTCAAAGACTGTTTACACTATTCCATACCATCACATACTTAAGGTTGATACTTAAGGTTGCTCAGTTATTTCCAATGTATTCTGTCACTATGAGGTAGCATTGTCCAACAAAGAACTAGAAATCACTGATCTAATCCCTAGCTTTCCTCTTAACTAGCTATGTGACCTAAAGGAAGTAGAAATCTTTAATAACTTGTTTTCTCATTTATAAAATAGTATACGCACTACTATTCTTTCGACAAATATTTTTTAAAACATTTAGTCCTGGTACTATGTAAGATCACAGTAAGAGCAAATAAAATAACGTTTCTAAAAGCACAGTGCATGTTACACAGGCAGTGGGCACTTTGGCATCCCCAATCCCCTACTAACCTGAAGGGCCTGGAGACACATGGTTCGGAAGCTGCTGCAGGTGCTTCCAGTCACAACACTCATGATGGAATTCACAGCCACCGTGAGTGAGGCCTGCAGTTTCTGATGAGCCTGGACACATAACACACGAGAGGAGACTGGGCTAATGCCAAGCTGCTGGTTCAGAGAATCCCAACGGGGCCAAAGATTTCAGTCAGGGCAGAATTTCAACAATTCTTCCCTTCTATCAACAATACATACTGAAATCATGACACATCTTTACATCATGACCCTTAGGGATTAAAACAAATTTTTAAAATGTTCTCTCCTTTCATAGAGATGACTTATTGACACAGACACATTCAGAAAAGACAAGCAATGAGACACTGGTCAATAAAACAGATACAATATTTTTTTAAAAAAGCTTTAAGTTTTGCTTTGTGTTTTTTTTTCCCTGAATAGAGGGCCATATGAAGTGAGAAATGTGTTACCACAAGTACGCAGGTTGGATGAATTCAGAAATTCAAGTAAAAAGAGAAAGTGGTGCTATTAAGAATTGGGAAAATGAGGGAAGAATGTAAGATTTAGTGGCATAGCAGCTCCAGAAGTATGTGTGGGAAGGAGAGAAGTATAGATGAGGGAGAAGTGCTTTATCAGTCACTTTCTCTATTAGCTATTTTCCTATTTACTCAAACCCACCTACTAGGAGGTAAGACTAAGTATGCTGGTTACAGTGACCCATCTAACTTAAAGCTTGAGTTCCTAGGCTAGATGCAGTGTTATAAGATCGCCCCCGGTGACAGAAGAGGAAGGAAGGGGTATTAAGGGAGGAAGGGCTCTTAGGCCCTGTCTGCTATACACTATCTTTTTCTTAGAAAGTAGGAGAAAGGAAACTGAATTTCTTATTACCTTGGCAGCTTGGTGATGCTGCTCCAAGACCTGGTCCACAGTGAACTGGATGGAATCCTGTACTACACTGTGGCTCTCTGTGAGGATGGCACTGAGATGAGTAGTGAGCAAAGTATGGACTCCTACAGGGAGGAAGAATGTTGTAACCATGAGTGAGGGTGGCTACTTCAAGACTGCTGTTCATGTGCTCTGAGTCAGAGCTGGGAGTGGGAAAGATGTCTCTTGGAAGAAAAGGCCATTACCTATCCACAAATAATTATTTTTAAAGACAAAACCTCCCAATTCTCACTTATAAATGAAAGAAAGCCCAGGAACATTAAAGTGAGGAATGACATTATTTTTGAAGAAACAAATGAGGGATCCTGTTTAATTCACATCGGAAATATATATTAATACTACATATTAGAAACAACGATACTGGTGACTGCTGGAGGAGAGGAGAAAGAGGGATAGGAGAAGCCCTGGAGAATGTGTCTAACTCTACTCCATTCCTATTGAGCATCACTGTTGTGGGGATTCTTCCAGATGTGTTGTGCTAAAGAAAAGGTTAAAACTCACAAAGGTGACTCTGAGAACCCCTCGATTGCAGAAGGTCCTTTTGAATGGAGGGTTATCTCTCTTTCAGAAAAGCTAACATGTGAGAGCAACGGGCAAAAATATGACTTCGAACAACAGGCTACCATTCAATGATCCTGCTGCAGCAGACACAGGAAGCCAAGTTCACTTGACAGGCTACCTGGAAAAAAGCTTCTTCATCATCCTTTGTGTTTTCAGTGTTGTTCTACTCTCTCCTGGAGAGTCTGTTCAGATACTATGGTGAAGCAGCCTAAGGCTGGCTGGCTTTTCTCAGGACTGCATTAAAAATGCAAGCCAGAAGGAACACTCTAGACACCAAAAGGCACCAGGACGCTTTTCTGCTAGGGAAGGTAATATGGGGTAAGCTCAAAAGGAGTCTGGAGTTAGAATTGGGAGAACATAGATTCTAGGGTCAATTTTACCACCAACTAGTGATAGCTAAGTCGCTTAACTTTTCTTACTTCAGTACAGAAAATGGCTTTATATCACCTCCTCCATAGGTATGTTGTGCAAATAAACTGGGATGATTTACATGAAGTGTTTTGAAATGTACATTGCAATATTCAATGGGAAAATATTGCTATTGCTATGATGATTGATATCTGGATTACTATTTTCCATAGTTTGATCCTAAAAATAGCTTCAAGAAATCAAACCCCTTTTGATAGCAGACATTAAATTAAAAAGCCAAAGTTCATTCCTAAAACTGCTGATACCACCAGATGCTTTTGACGTTGTGGCAAAATAATAAGTTAATCATAGAAAAGTTACCATGACAAAGTAGGCAGAAGGCCAATTATATCATTTTTTTAAAAGATACATGGAAACAGACTGTAATTTTGTACAATCTGTTTCCTAAAAGAAGGAGCCTGGAGAAAGCTTTCAAGAGTGTGAGAAAGAAGAGGGGGAAGGAGAAGATAAAATCACTACTCTGTCCATATCTGCCTCCCTCACTGCACATCCTCTCAGAGGCTCATCCTAAACTACCAGATGTGTAAGATTTGAAAAGATACTATGTTTACTAATTCAGTGATGAATTTCTTTTTCTTCCTCTTTTTATTTTTTATTTATTTATTTATTTACTTATTTTGAGACAGAGTCTCACTCTCTTGCCTGGGCTAGAGTGCTGTGGCGTCACTCTAGCTCACAGCAACCTCAAACTCCTGGGCTCAAGTGATCCTCCCTGGTAGCTGGGACTACAGGCACACACCACCATGTGGGGATAATTTTTTCTAATTTTAGTTGTTTGGCTAATTTCTTTCTATTTTTAGTAGAGACAGGGTCTCGCTCTTGCTCAGGCTGGTCTCGAACTCCTGAGCTCAAGCAATCTTCCCGCCTCAGCCTCCCAGAGTGCTAGGATTACAGACGTGAGCCACCATGCCCACCCTGAATTTCTGTTTAATTCAACACTGAGACAAGTACTGAGATACTGCAGGCCTTCAGAGTCAAGCTAAACAGAAGTGTATAAATTATCATAGTACTATAAGAATAAGTAACAGTAGTTTCTGAGGAATTTGAGTTCTTAAGGTATGTTCAATAGCACCCAGAACATGGTATCAGGTTTGCATTATCCTAGGATTATCCTCTGGCAGACCTTTTAAAAAAAAAAAAACAGCTTGAAAGTAGCAGATCTTAAGTCTTAAGAGACTTTTAATCTTGGAAGGGCTTTTGACATTATCTAGTCTAACAATCTCATGTTAAAGATATGAAAAGTGAGGCTCAGATTTATTTGACTTGTTTCCCAAAAATCACTGAGGAAGCTGGTATGGGAGCTACCAGGTTTCTTCATTCTACCTTGATGTTCTTTCCACAGTAGTAAGCTGCTTCTCTTATCAGCCTCTGTCTGTAGGAGCACAGGCCAGGTAACAACAGCCCTAGGAATCCTCATCTTAGACCTTTTTGCTAGAGCCTCATTAGTTTGGGTCTCACCTATTTCTCATTCCTCTGGCCTTAATCTATGGAACAGTGAGGCATCAAAGAACACCAGCTCCTCAAATAAAGGGCTGCAAGCCAGAGCCCAGCAAAAAGTGCTTCTCTCCTAGATTATGTACAATATATGTTGGGAAAAGGTAGGAGAGGCTTGGGAGAAAGGCAGCAGGAAGAATCCCACAGGTGGCAATGGTTTGTTCAACAAATAGTTGGCACCAGTCAATATGTGCTCTTCTGGTCTGGGGTTCTAACAGGTCTCATTTTTCTTATGATTCAGGGAGAGGGCCACACCAAACAGTACTGGAAGGCCCACAGAGCAGAGTCCCACAAAAACATACCAGCCCACAGAGAAAGAACACAAGAATATATCAGAAGTACCAAAAGGGAAGCTTATGAACTTTCCCCAAAATTTGTATAAGCGCAACTTCTTCTTGTAACTTCCCTCAAAGTTTAGGAAGACACTGAGAAACACTTAAGTTTGTGTCCCAGGATTTACTGAATTAAAATGCATAAGCCAACTCTGGCTCACAGTCAGTGGTTTTCAAATTTTACTATACTTAAGAATCACTTGAGAACCTTATTCCAAATGCAGATTCTCAAACTGTACCAGATTTTACATTATTGCAAAATAAGTAAAAATTAATCACTAGCCCAGGAAGCCGTACATTTTCAAATAATCTAGGTGATTCTGATGCATGTGTCTCATGGACCATAAGCTGAAAACAACTGCTTTACCTTTAAAGGAGAGGTATTTGGTTGTGTGAGGGTGGTGGGTAGGGTTTCGTTGTTTTTTGGGTTTTTTTTTATCACTCAGGCTGGAGTGCAGTGGCATGATCATAGCTCACTGCAGCCTCAAAGTCCTGGGCTCAAGCAATCCTCCCACCTTAGCCTCCCAAGTAACTGGGATTATAGGCACAAACTAGAGAACCTTTTCGAAAACAGGTTATCACCTTTCTAATAGTTAAACGCCAAAGGCTTCCCCTTACATGCTTGAACAAGGACAAGCATACATTTCTTTAATCCACTTGGAAAAGCAGTATGGTGATGAAAAGTTCTCAAGACTGGCTACACATCAGAATCATCTGAGAAGCTTTAAAAATATACTGAGACCTGGGGCCCACCTCCACCCAAGGAAATCAGAATCTTTGGGGTGAGAGTGAATCATTCTTAGACAGTCCCAGGTTGTGCGGCTAAGGCTGAGAACCACTGAACCCTAGGGAGCGTTATATGAAGTGTCTGCTGGTTTCTTGCCAACCAAATCTGGGAATGTCATCATTTATGTGATGCACCAACATAATGGATCTTTTCCATAGGGCATATAATATAATTTAACAAGCAAGGTTTCTCACTGAAATTCTTATTCTACAGAAATACTTCTAATTCAGATACCTGCATTACACAAAGTCTCCCTTTCTTTATCTTCTCAGCATTTGGCACACCCCAGCTGGCAGCCCCATACTTACCCCAGATTTCCATTTGCTGGATTGGAAACCCATTGTGGAAATCCACAAAGAGAAAAAGCAGCAGAATGTGTCCTTGAGTGTCCGTATTCTGAAACTGAGCCCCCTCACTGGATTCCACCAGATAACTCACATCTGGAAGCACCAAATCTAAAGGACAAAACATCACACCAATTCTTGACATAAATAAAGACTTGTAGAAATGCTAAGTGACTAAAGAATGTATATTCTGAACAAAGAAGTATCTGAGAATAAATCTAAATTCAAACATTCACTTCCCCTTTTGAACTTGTTTCTCTATCCACACAATGGAAGCAAATAATAGTGACTCACTCACAGGAAGAACATCAAAATAACAACTGGGTGTGTAAAATGCAAACCAAACAATACTCCTTTGCATTTATTGAGAAACACTAAATTCACTGATTCCTCATACAACTTTCCAAGGCAGGTATGGCTAGTAAGAGGCAGAGGTAAGATTCAAGCCTGAGTAATGATGATAACAACAGCTAACTTGTGCTACATGCCAGGTACCATGTTAAATTCTCATATACTGTCTTAACATTTAGACTTCATAACAACACTATGGGGTAGGACCCATTCTTATGCCTTTTACAGATAAGGAAAGAGACACAGATAGGTTAAATATCTTGCCTAATGTGAGGTAGTAAATAGAACTGAGTTTTAGACCTTGCTAGATTAACTCCAAAATCTGTGTTCTCAACCCAAATACCGTGTGATATTTGTATTTCTAGGTAATTCAATGCCCTGTAGTCACTTGCTAGCACCTTGACTCTTTGGAATACAATCTGGATAGTGCTGCCTTCCAGAGCCATATGGAGAAGCACCTCTATGTGGATCCTGGTTCTATCCTTTAGAGCATGGGTCCTCAAACTTTTTAAACAGGGGGCCAGTTCACTGTCCCTCAAACTGTTGGAGGCCAGACTATAGTTTAAAAAAAACTATGAACATATTCCTATGCACACTGCACATATCTTATTTTGAAGTAAAAAAACAAATGGGCAGGCCGGGCGCGGTGGCTCATGCCTGTAATCCTAGCATTCTGGGAGGCCGAGGCAGGCAGATTGCTCAAGGTCAGGAGTTCAAAACCAGCCTGAGCAAGAGTGAGACCCTGTCTCTATTATAAATAGAAAGAAATTAATTGGCCAACTAATATATATAGAAAAAAATTAGCCGGGCATGGTGACGCATGCCTGTAGTCCCAGCTACTTGGGAGGCTGAGGCAGTAGGATTGCTTTAGCTCAGGAGTTTGAGGTTGCTGTGAGCTAGGCTGACGCCACGGCACTCACTCTAGCCTAGGCAACAAAGTGAGACTCTGTCTCAAAAATAAAACAACAACAACAACAACAAAAAAAAACGGGCAAAAACACCCACATGTGGCCTGCGGGCCGTAGTTTGACACCTGCTTTAGAGTAATGAGGGAGGGAGTTGAGGGGACATTTCTTACATATTCATTTCCAAAGTTAATTGAACAAGTTCAGGCATCATGAAGTGGCAAAAAATAAAGTAAATCAACAAAGCCTGAAAACAAAAATGAAAGAGAAAAAGAAATATGGAGATTTCCAGAAATTCACCTAGGTCATCCCTCTATTGAAAATCTTGGGAGCCTGACAGATTAAGACCAAACATTGTGGCTGGGCATAATGGCTCACACCTGTAATCCTAGCACTCTGGGAGGCTGATGCGGGTGGATCATTTGAGCGCAGGAGTTCAAGACCAGCCTGAGCAAGAGCAAGACCCCCATCTCTACTAAAAATATAGAAAGAAATTAGCTGGACAACTAATTATATATATATATATATATATATATATATAAAATTTGCTGGGCATGGATGGTGCATGTCCTGTAGTCCAGCTACTCGGGAGCTGAGGCAGTAGGATCGGCGTTGAGCCCAGGAGTTGGTTGCTAGTGAAGCGAGCTGATCCACCGCACTCTAGCGTGGGCAACAGAGTGAGACTCTATCTCAAAAAAAAAAAAAAAAGACCAAACACATTCTTTTCTCACAAAACTATTTACCTCTAGAGACCCTGTCTCAGGACGCCCTCTTTTCATAGCCACCTTCTGGAATCACTACCCACTCAGGAACAAAGAACCTTATCTCTAGGCTTCCTTCCCAGGTAAAGATCCACCATTTCCCACGAGATACTGCCCCACCCCAAGAGGCTTCAATCTTTTCATACCAGTCACAACTCTAGAATACCTCTTCCTTAATATGTCTTCCTTGGGATCCAAATGACCAGACTACCTTGTGAATTTCAAAGGATGCTAGTGAACAACAGTCAAGCTCAAAACTGTAAACTCCTAGACATCAGCCCATGGTTGCATATTCCTATTTCCCAATTTTATTTATTGGTTCAGTTATTAACCTCCCAACTTTTAGCATGATTCATCCAAAGCTAATGTAGTTAGGCCCTACATGAATATTATACACAGCTTCCTAGGTTTAACACTATGGTCTTGAAATTGTTGTGTTTTAACTTTTCTAAGTAATTTTATATGGATTATCTCATTTCATCATGAAGCATTTCTCTTCCACAATAGTTCAAAGGTGTCATTGCTCCTTTAGTCATCTTTCTAAAGCCCCTGAGTTGACAGATTAAAGTACAAAAGAAACACTCTGAACAAGTCCCTAGAAGAAAGACCAGGAATAGAGGTGGCAGCAGAAGAAGTGAGAGGAGAACCAGCATCCCCATGCAATACCAAACAGGCTCTGATGAGGCTTTGCCTGTTTGACATGTTTGCTCACTCCAAGTGGTCTCTTAAATTCAGTCAGACCCCCATCCCCACATCCCAACCTAGGCCATCAGATCAATGGGTCCTATTTTTATATTTATGTGCTATTTATATTTCCTTTCTCTAATATCCTTCAGGTTTCTTCATTCGTGTACAAAGAGAGGGAGACATACCTCTGTCCAAATTGAGATCCAAATTGGGCACCATATGCAAGCAGTATTTTTCCAAGTCAATGAAATAAGAGGTATCTTTGAACACAGGAGTAACTGGCTGTTCCCGACTTGACAGTATCAGAGGCAGACCCAAAGGTCCATACAGAAATATGTATAGTTGCTAAAGAAAACTGGCAAATTTTAGTTTCTTATGACTATGTGTTCACTTATATAAAACAAACATAACACCGACCTGGTTCATACTCCCAGAAATAAACAAGTGTGCTATTTAATTACATCTTGAGCCTTTTCCATACCAAAAATAGGTGTATGGCACAGAGATAGAGCCACTAGGATATCTAGAAAATTATTCTGGGTTTAATAAACGTGAGCTACAGGTATAGTATTGGAATAATTAATTTATTCATCTTATATATTCGATCATAGATTTGAGGGGCACCGCGGGTTAATGCTGTTCTAAATTCTGGGTGTACAAAAATGAATATTCAGATTTAACACCTCTCTTCAAGTTGTCATATTTACAGTATGGGAGATAGACATAAAAAACAATAAACTATAATGTGTTACATGCCAGAATAGAAGTATATACAAAAGGCACTTTGGGAGGCCGAGGCAGGAGGATTGCTTGAGGCCAGGAGTTCAAGACCAGCCTAAGCAAGAGTGAGACTGTCTCTACAAAAATTAGAAAAATTAGCTGTGCATGGTGACACATGCCTGTACTCCTAGCTACTCAGGAGGTTGGGGCATGAGAATCACTTGAGTCTGGGAGTTTGAGGTAGCAGTAAGCTATGATGACCCCAATGTACTAAGGTGACAGAGCCAGACCTCATCTCAAACAAATAAATAAAATAAAATAAAAATAGAAGTATATACAAAGGAATATTTACTAGAAAGTATCTGAGATTTAGATTGAAGGAATCTTCCTCTCACCTTCTCCAACCCTATTCTCTAACAAAGACAAAGGCAGACAGGCTCCTGAAATAGTTTCCTTATCTGGACTTCCCATTCCTACTCTCATCTTACCTCTAACCCAGGGTTTCTTGACCTCTGGACCACTGACACTTTGGGCCAGATAATTCTTCACTGGTGGTGGCCAGGGGCAGTCCTGTGTAGCACTGCAGGATGTTTAGCAGCATCCCTGGCCTCTACCCACTAGATGCCAGTAGCAACCCTCTGGACATGACACCACCACCACCACCCCACCCTCTCCACTCCCCCCACCCCCCGCTTCACAACAATCTTTCTATAGGGTAAACACAAGGTATTAAATGTGAATATTAAAATTTTTACCCAGTAGGCACTGGGACATTATAGAAAGTCACAACAGAAAAAAGGGAGGCATTGCTCATAAATGAAGTCTTCCTCACAAATCTCAGAAGGCATTAACACACGATCTAGGACCAACATAGTCACTGTTTAGAGCTAGAGGATCTTTGAGATACTGCAAACTCAGGATAAGAGTCTGAAGAGCCAAAATGTATGGTTGTCTTTTAATTGGATTGTTTAAACCATTTACATTTAATATGAATATGTTATAGCTATGGTGGGGTTTAAATCTATCATCTTGTTTAGGAAGTAAAGAAACTAGGAGACAGGTAAAGAATGTATCCAAATAATTGTTAAAGCCCCTCTGTAACTAAGAAATGGGTAGCGGGATTATGTGTGATTTTGTTTTCTTCATTATGCTTCTCTGCATTTGCAAAAACTCTGTTACAATAAACACATGTTACTTTTATCAGCAGAAAAAAATAAAAATAAAAATCTATCATCTTGTTCTCTCTTTTCCATTTGTTCCCTGTATTACTTTTCCAAGTTTCTATTTTTAGATTCTATTTTGGATTAGATAATTTTTATAGTTCCATTTGATCTCCGTTTTGGCTTATTAGTTATAACTGCTATATTAATTTAGGGATTGCTTTAGGCTTTATTACTATACAATTTTAAATTATAGTCTACCTTCAAATAATATTATAACAGTTCCAATATAGTATAAGAATTCAGCAATATACTTCCATTTCTCCCCTCTTGGCCTTTGTGCTATTGTCATCACACCTTTTGTTTCCATATATGTTATAAACATTGTTATTTTTGTTTTAAGCAATTATCTTTTAAAGAAATGTTTTTTAAAAGGACAAAAATCTTTTATATTTACCCACATAGTTACCATTTCCAGTGTCTTCCTTTTTTATGTGTAGATCCAGAATTCTGTCTGGAATCATTTTCCTTCTACTTGAAAGATTTCCTTTGACCTTTCTTTCTTTCTTTTTTTGTTTTTTTTGAGACAGAGTCTTACTCTGTTGCCTGGGTTAGAGTGCCGTGGCGTCAGCCTAGCTCATAGCAACTTCAAACTCCTGGGCTAAGTGACCCTCCTGCCTCAGCCTCCTCAGTAGCTGGGATTACAGGCACATGCCACCATGCCTGGCTAACTTTTTCTACACGTTTTTAGTTGTCTAGCTAATTTCTTTGTATTTTTAGTAGAGACTAGGTCTCGCTCTTGTTCAGGCTGTTCTCAAACTCTTGAGATCAAACAATCCATCCGCCTCAGCCTCCCAGAGTGCTAGGATTATAGGTGTGAGCCACCACGCCTGGCCTCTTTTGACATTTCTTATAATACAAGTCTGCTAATGAATTCTTTCATCTTCTGTATGTCTGAAAAATTTTTCGTTTCTCCTTCATTTTTGAAAAATATTTCACTGGGTACAGAATTCTAGGTGGACAATTTTCTTTTTTCTTTGAGTAAGATGTTGCCCCACTTTCTCCTAGTTAACACTATTTCCAATGAGAATACTGCTGTGATTCTTATCTTTGTTCTTCTACACATAATGTGTCTTTTTTTCTCCAGTTGTCTTTAAGATTCTTTATTACTTACTTTATGCAATTTGTTTGAAATGTGTCTTGATGACATTTTCTTTATATTTCTTTTGCTTTTGTTTCATTGATCATGGATCTGTAGGTTTATGGTTTTCATCAGATTTGGAAATTAGGGGACCATTATTTCTTTATTTTTTTAATTTGTTTATTCTTTTTTTAATTTTTATCATTTTCCTATTTTCTTTTGGACACTGACCTGGAAGGGACCATTATTTCTTCAACTATTTTATCTGCCCTCTTTCCCTTCAGGACTCTAATTACATGTCCCTGAATTAAGCCACCTGAAGTTATCCCACAGTTCACTGATGCCTTCTTCATTTTTCTTTTCTAATGTATAATAATGTTGACAACATACATTTTTTTTCTTAGTGTTTCATTTCAGTTTCTACTGTTATATATTCAAGTTCATTGATTTTTCTTCTACAGTATGTAGATCTGCCATTAATCTCATCTAGTGAATTTTCATCACAAAAATTGTAATTTTTATCTCTAGAATTTTAATTTGGGTCTTTTTTCTTATATCTTGTCTTCATTTAATATGCTCAATTGTTTCTCTTATTAAGAACACAGAATACAGTTATATTTGTTTTAATGTCCTTGTTTACTATCATCTGTGACATTTCTGGATAGGTTTCATTGATTGATTCTTTTCTTCTTTATGGATCCTGCTTCTTAGGAAGCCAAGCTGTTTTTTTTTTTTTATTAGATGCTAAGCATTGTGAAGTTTACCTTCTTGGGTGCATTTCTGTATTCCTATAAATATTCTTGAACTATTTTCTGGGAAGCTATAAAATTACTTGGAAATAGGCTGAGTGTGGTGGCTCATGCCTGTAATCCTAGCACCCTGGAAGGCTGAGGCAGGAGGACTGCTCGAAGTCAGGAGTTCTAGACTAGCCCGAGCAAGAGCAAGACCCCATCTCTACATCTCTACAAAAAAAATAGAAAGATGAGTCGGTTGTGGTGATGCTAGCATGGAGTTCCAGCTACTGAGGAAAGTAAGGCAGGAGGATCGCTTGAGCCCAGGAGTTTGAGACTGCAGTGAGCTATGATGACACAACTGTATTCTACCCAGGGCAACAGAGCAAGACTCAGTCTAAAAAAAAAAAAAAAAAAAATTACTTGGAAATAATTTGAGCCTTCTGGATCTTGTTTTCAAGATGGGACCAGAGAAGGCTGTAGTCTAGAGCTAACTTGTCCCTGCCACTCAGTCAAATCCTTCTGAGGACTCTACCTGACACACCATGAAATATGAGGTTTTTCATTCTGCCTGGTAGAAACAGGCTCCATGTGATCTCTAAGGATTGTTGTCTGTCTAGAGCTTCCTGTCTCTATGCATTTCTCTCCTCTTCAATACTCTTTCCTATAAATTCTAGCTGATCAGACCTCCATGAACTTTGTCTCCCCAACTCAGAGAGATCCACCAGACTCAAGTTGGGTATCTCCTCCCTGCAGTGCAATGTGGAAATACTCTCTAGGAAGTACAGCAGGACAATCATAAGGTTAACTTGTTTGTTTCTCTTCTTTCCAGAACCACTGTGCAATACTACCAGCGTATATAGAAAACTGCTATTGAATATAATTTGTCCATTGAAGAGTTGTTCAAGGGGGGATGTTAAATAGTCCATTATTCTATCATGGCCAGAATGAAAGTTCCTAAATCTTTTTTAAACAATCTCACTGGCCCTTGATAGCTTCCTTGCTTTCTGACCCAACATGATATGCACGTTCACCTGGTACATTTCTACTCTAGGACTAGAATCAGCTTTTTAGTGAGCAATGGTATTTAGAGAACACATTCTAGGTACTAGGAGTTCTTTTTTTTTTTTTTTTTTTTTGAGACAGAGTCTCGCTTTGTTGCTCAGGCTAGAGTGAGTGCTGTGGCGTCAGCCTAGCTCACAGCAACCTCAAACTCCTGGGCTCAAGAGATCCTCCTGCCTCAGCCTCCCAAGTAGCTGGGACTACAGGCATGCGCCACCATGCCCGGCTAATTTTTTTTTTTTCTATACATATTAGTTGGCCAGTGAATTTCTTTCTATTTATAGTAGAGACAGGGTCTCGCTCTTGCTCAGGCTGGTTTCGAACTCCTGACCTCGAGTGATCCGCCTCAGCCTCCCAGAGTGCTAGGATTATAGGCACGCCTAACATCAGCATGTTCAAGTCCAACTCATCTTCTTTATCTCCTAAATTTGCTATTAATGTTTTGTAACTTGCTGACAGTATCATTATTGTCAGTCATCCACGGAATCTTTTTTTTTTTTTGAAGAGACAAGGTCTCACTCTGTCACCCAAGCTAGACTGCAATGGCACAATCATAGCTCATTGCAGCCTCAAACTCCTGGGCTCAAGCAATCCTCCTGCCTCAGCCTCTTGAGTAGCTAGGACTATAGGCACATACCACCATGCTGGCTAATTTGTTTAAATTAAAAACGAGAGATGTAGAGATGGGCTTTTGCTGTGTTGCCCAGGCTTGTCTCCAACTCCTGGCCTCAAGTGATCCTCCTGTCTCAGCTTCCCAACGTGCTGGAATTACAAGAGTGAGCCATCATGCCCAGCCCATGGAAATCTTTTTCAACAGCTTTATCAAGATGTAATTCACATATCATACAATTCATCCATTTTAAACATACAACTGAATGGTTTTAGTATATTCAAAGAGTTGTGCAACTATTACCATCACCAATTTTAGAACATTTCTATCACTTCAAAAAGAAGCTCCTCCCATCTACTTTCTGTCTCTATAGATTCGCCTATTCTAGATTTAGAAATCTGACATAAACTTTAGCCATTCCCTGCCCCTCATCTCTCCCTATCCCAACAATGATCTGGCTACCTCATTATGTTGATTCCTTCTTGTGACAAGTCTCAGCCCACCACACTTTTAATTCAGGCACTTATATCTCTTAACCAAGTTCACTTACTTATTTACTTAGTAATTACTAACTTCTCTTTCCCATCCATTCTGCGCAAAGCTGCTAGAGACTCTTGCCAAAACATTCAATGGTTTGCCACTCTATAAAGAATAAAGTTCATACTCCTTAGTCTGGCACTCATGATCTACCATATTCAATTCCAAACTACTTTCCAGCCTCATCTCTCCCTCTTGCACCATTCATTCCATGCTTCAGTTGTGTTGGATTGTATGAAAAATGATTGGCACATGTCACATTTTATAGTTTGCAGTTCCCTGTCAACACTTTCAAACTTGGCTTTCATATTGGATTATATGTTTTTATACAAATCACACATGCTTATAGATACAGAATTCATATACTAAAGGCTTTCCTAAAATTGAGATATAAAAACCCACTTTAAAAGACAATTGGATGAAATTTATCATCAAAAAGATATGGAAACTGAAGAAATCCTGTTCAACTGGCTGGAAAAGACCTTTGGGGTGGGGCACAGAGCAGCAGCTGGAGTCAGTATCAGTTCTCCCAACAAGTCCATGCCAACCATGTCATCAGGGATGGAAAGTGTTATAGGATGTCCTAGCACAGGGTGGATTCTGCTGCAGCATGATTCAGTTGTACCAAATTTTGGTCTGCTGTCAGAAAACAGACAAATTTAACTTTTTTCTCTCTTAAGAAATTATTTAAAAGGGCATTCAAAATTCCTTTTATAAACCTCTGGCATATGCATAACCATGTAATCAACAATATCAGTTTTGTTGGAATAAGCAAGTTGTGCCCCAAACAGGGAATTAGAGCAATGGAAAAAGCATCACCTAATCCCTGACAAAAGAAAGAAAAAGATAAAGATTAAGAAAGAAAAATAGAAAAGACAAGGGAAAAAAAAGAGCAAAGAAATAAACATTTCAGGGATGGCATCATGGCTCCTGCTTTTTCTGCCACTAATGGCAGTTTCTTATTCTCAAAAGTATATTTCTCCAACTAAAATTACTCTATGTTTCTGAGCAGAAGTTCCCAAGATCAGTCAAAGACAAGCATTGTGTGAAGGGGTCTGTGGATCACAAATGGCCTAACCTGCGGTATTTAGCAGTCTGCTCCCCACATGCCCCACCTTCCCCTGCAGAGGTATGAGGTTCCTATTTTATAGGACCAGTGAGGAAAAATTAGGCCATCTTTCTCTCCCAGAAAGAATCTAGTGAAATTTTGTGTTGATTTCTTTTCCAATGGCTCTTTTCTAAACAGGGAAGAAATATTAATAAACTTTTTCCTCTCTCTGTAAACAAATCAGGCCATCCAGGGAAACATGTCCACAAATATTGTCTCAAAGCCTTAAACTCTGGTCAGTAAAACTATGATGATGAGCTACCTACCTATAAGGATTGTACAATACTAGAGGATCAGATTACTAAAGACAGATATGGGTTGGGGGTTTTATTACCTGTATATTAAAAAATAAAAAATATTCTCATCTGAGGTGTGATTTTCAGTAAGAATAATGGTCTAAAAAACCTTGAGTGGTCTCTTCAAGCTGTAACATCCTTATGACTACTGGTATTGACTCAGGGCATATAAGCAGAGGCAGAAACTATTGAATAAAGACTAAATTAGTTGGACTTAAGCATTTGTTAGGTCTTTTCTTGATACAGTTCATGTTTACTTTGGATTCTATGGTAGCTGGATGGCAAAGGAAAGCAAGGCGGAGGGTTCTGTCTGTTCCCTATTATTTACCACCTCCTCCATGGGTTTATGTTTTTGGAGTCTGAAGAAGGTTGAGGTGGGTAGGGAAAAATTTTCCAAACCTATGCAAAATGCTGATGCACAAAAAATAATATATAACTAGTTCCTTTGTATTTATACTATCTCTCTAGCCAAGAGTTCAAGTCAATTTAAATTCACAGACCTCTCTTCTCATGTCTAAATGGGATTATAATTAGCATGGTTTGTTTCATTTCATTTACAGAAGAAATAAGGAATGGAGAAGAAAAGGAACATGTCTTCAGATCAAGCAGAATATATTCAAGGAGCCAAGAATATTAACAGTTTTCAACATAAATAACTTAAAGGTTTTACTTCCACTTTTGTTTTTCTTTTTTTTTTTTCTGTTGCCCAGGCTAGAGTGCAGTGGCATCACCATAGCTCCCTGTAACCTCAAACTCCTGGGCTCAAGTATCCACTTTTCTTAAAGAGAAGCCAACATCTGGCACTTAGAAGTGACAAGTGAGACCATTTCCAATTTCTACCCACATTCATATTCATAACAGGAGAGTCAAACAGGGAGAGGGAAAACAATGCTTTTCACCTTCACCTTACATAATGCTGAGAGTTTATTACAAGAGCAATTCCATTCGACAGGTTCAAAGTGGGTTCATTCTCTATCCTGCAAAGCAAAGAAAAACTAAGCTATTTCTCAAAGATTCTAAGCTTGATACAAATTTTGGCCCATGACTACTACCACCCCTGGGATTACTGGAATTTAGTAACTAATTAACTGAGGGGAAAATGGCAATTTTAAGTTCACCCTCTATAGTGAAAGGGACAGACATGAAATTTTGCTTATTCAAAGTTAATACAGAATAAGAAAATGTAGAGGTCTCAGAAAATTAGTTTCAAGATGATTTGGGGTCAAGAAATCAAACTGTGAATCTACTGGAGATAGGACAATAAGGGCTGAGAAAAATTGCAGGCCATAGCATCATCTTAAGCCCTGTACTTACCCAAAGAACTCTTTGGAGAGGATTCCATTTACCTTTAGACTGAAATTAAATCTGATCTGCAAAACAGTAAATGAGGTAAGAGATTTAACATGAGCCAGAATAGAGATTAAAAACTTCCATACTCAATCCCTAAAGGAAAAGAGTATTCTTAAAAATTTTTTTTAATTAATACTATTTCTAATTGACAAATTGGAATTACATATATTCATGGGGACAATGTGATGTTTTGATATATGTATCCAACACAGAATGATTAAATCAAGCTGATTAACATATCTACCACCAAGCCAGGCATGATGGCTCACACCTGTAATCCCAGCTATGTGAGAGGCTGAAGCAGGAGGATCTCTTGAGGCCAGGAGTTCAAGACAAGCAACATAACAAGACCCTGTCTCTAAAAAAATTTAAAAAATTAACTGTGCATGGTGGCATATGCCTGTCCCAGCTACTCGGGAGGCTGACTACAGGAGGATCTCCTGAGCTCAGAAATTTGAGGTTGCAGTGAGCAATGTTTGGGCCACTAAACATTGGGCCACTAAACACTCCAGCCTGGGTAACAGAGTGAGACCCTGTCTCTGAAAAAAAAAAAATGGAGATTATGATAAAACCTATTTCACAAGGAGTGTTGTGAGGGTTAAATGAATGAGTGTGTAGAAAGCATGTAGAATAGTAAATGGCAAACAATAATTAAACCCTGCTGAAGATGAAAAAAATAGGAAGATAGCATAAGAAAAGAAGGACATCATATGACCCACTTAACTATGTTCATCTTTACAAATATATCTTACTATGATAATGATTAAAAAATTTAGCTCTCCAATGTTTAAAATATTTTATCAAAATTTCCTTATTTGGCCAGGTGTGGTGGCTCATGCCTGTAATCCTAGCACTCTGGGAGGCCGAGGTGGGTGGATCACTCAAGGTCAGAAGTTCGAAACCAGCCTGAGTAAGAGCAAGACCCCCGTTTCCACTATAAATAGAAAGAAATTAATTGGCCAACTAAAAATATATATATATAAATAAAAAAATTAGCTGGGCATGGTGGTGCATGCCTGTAGTCCCAGCTACTCGGGTGGCTGAGGCAAAAGGACTGCTTGACCCCAGGAGTTAGAGGTTGCTATGAGCTAGGCTGATGCCATGGCACTCTAGCCTGGGCAACAGAGTGAGATTCTGTCTCAAAAAAAAAAAAAAAATTTTTTTTTTCTTTATTTAGGCCAGGCACAGTGGCTCACGCCTGTAATCCCAGAGGCCAAAGCATGAGGACTGCTTGAGGCTGGGAGCTCGAGATCAGCCTGGGCAACATAAGGAGGCCCTTTTCTCTACAAAAAAAGTAAAAATTAGCTGGGAATGGTGGCATGTGCCTATAGTTCTAGCTACTCAGGAGGCTGAGCTAGGAGGTTCACTTGAGCCTGGGAGTTGGAGGTTGCGGTGAGTTGTGATCAAGCTACTGTATTCCAGTCTAGGCGATAGAGCAAAACTCTTAACTCTAAAAAAAAGAAAAAAAAAAAAACTCCTCATTTGTTCTTACAGTCACTTTAGAAAAGGAAATGATCAGCAAGGTTTATTATCTAGGTTTAAAAGAAAAATGAAGCACAAAGGAGGGAAATGAGGTATCTAAAATGGTAGAATAAAACAGTAAGAAAGTGAAAATAAGAATCCAAAAGAAAGCCCCATGTCCAGAGGCTTCTCAGCTGTGTTACACAACCAACATTAAGATTGCCTTAAGGACATAGAAAGCAAATTAATTCAATATTAAAAGTGTTAATTATCTTCATTGAAAGAAAACCAGTCATGTCCTACAGAGTAGAGATCTCTTGAAAACATATGACTTAAACAAGAGAAGCATTATTGTGGAAAAAAACAGCTTACCTTAGGGTGTACCATGGTGATTTTGCGTAAAAAATGCTTTATAACCAGACAATCCGTCATCAAAGTTCTGGGATTTTCATCAATCTGTTAAAACCACAACAAATAAAAAACATCACCAAATTCAAGAGAAAAAATGAAACAAATTATGGCCTTTCTTCCCATAAAGTAACCATACCTCAGAAAGCTTTTTGGACATCCAAGAAGAAATATCTTGGGAATGAGATTATATACAAAAAGGAATCTGAACATTTATCACTTCCTGGGTCAGAGTACCTATTTCACGGAACTTAAGAAGACTCATGAAGAAAGATCAGAGTAAAACCCACAATGTCAAAACTACCTTTGGAGACAAATTTAAAAGTAATTCAGATTGGAGCTGAGAAGAATAACTCTACCTTAACACTACCAACAATCTGTATTAAGAATCTGAGTGGAGGCTGGACATCGTGGCTCACTTTGGTAATCCTAACACTTTGGGAGGCTAAGCCAGGAGGATCACTTGAAACCAGGAGTTCAAGACCAGCCTGGGCAATGATGGGACCCTGTGTCTACAAAAAATACAAAAAAAATTAGCCGGGTTTTGGTGGCGCATACCTCTAGTTCCAGCTACTTAGGAGGCTAAGGCAGGAGGATCTCTTAAGCCCAAGAGTTTGAGGTTGTAGTGAGCTATGATGATGTCATTGTACTCTAGCTGGGGCAACAAAGTGAGATCCTGTCTCAAATTAAAAAAAAAAAAAAAGAATCTGAGTGGAGCTAAAGGAGCAGACAGTAAAAGGAACCTATTTTTGACATCAATCCATTCATCTAAACATTTATTTATAAGGAAAAGCTCTAGAGCAAAAAGCTCTAAAGTCAGAAGACCTGTGATCTAGTACTGGCTCTGTAAAAAATTACTTAAATAACCATGAAAAGGAAATCACTTCACTGCTCTGGACCTCATTTCCTAATCTGTAAAACAGGTATAAAACCTACCCTTTCTACCTTACAGAATTGTTTTTTTTTTTTTTTTGAGACAGAGTCTCACTCTGTTGCCTGGGCTAGCGTGCCATGGAGTCAGCCTAGCTCACAGCAACCTCAAAATCCTGAGCTCAAGCAATCCTACTGCCTCAGCCTCAGTCCCAGTAGCTGGGACTACAGGCATGCACCACCATGCCTGGCTAATTTTTTTCTACTTTTTGTAGAGGCAGGGTCTCGTTCTTGCTCAGGCTGGTCTCGAACTCCTGAGCTCAAACGATCCGCCTGCCTCGGCCTCTCAGAATGCTAGGATTACAGGAGTGAGCCACCACGCCCAGCCAAGGATTCCTATATTTGAAAGTATATATTATACGTGGTAACAATAATAGATACCACTTATTGAATGCCTATTATTGTGACAAGCATTATGCATGTGCTATATATACACTACTTCACAACAATCCTGTAAGGTAGGTATTACCATCCCTTTTTTGTAGATTAAAAAAAAAAGGCTCAGCGAAGTTAAGCAACTTGCCTAAGGTCACCCAGCAGTTCAGTGGTAGAGATAGCATTTGACTCTATGTCTTTTTTTGTTGTTGCTTGAGTGATCTTAAGTCTTTCTAATACCAATTGCCCATATTCTTTCCAATATACTATGACATTTCCCTACAAATATAACATTTACATTTACAAATACAACATTTACTAATTAGGGCTTCCTCTCTCCCAGGAATGGTGCTAAATATTCTTATTTATATTACCTCATTTAACCTTCACAAAAACCCCACATTTTATAAATGAAAAAAAAATGAGTCTCAAAAAGTTTAAACAGGCCAGGCGCAGTGTCTTACACCTATAATCATAGCACTTTGGGAGGCCAAAGCAGGAGGCTTGCTTGAGGCTAGGAGTTCAAGACAAGCTTGAGCATGAGCTAGACCCTTTCTCTACTAAAGAAATAGAAAAATTAGCCCAGCATGGTGGCCCATGCCTGTAGTCCCAACTGCTTGGGAGGATGGTAGAGTTAAAATAGAGTTATTCTTCTCAGCTCCAGTCTGAATTACTTTTAAATTTGTCCCCAAAGCTAGTTTTGACATTGTGGGTTTTACTCTGATGTTTCTTCATGAGTTTCCTGAAGTTCCATGAAATAGGTACTCTGACCCAAGAAGTAATGGCTACTTTTTCATGCATATCTCCATTAAATAGTCTTTGCTATGAACCTCAATACTCAATTCTTCTAACTAAGGAATACATGATGAAATCTTTTGCAATTCCCTCTTTTTCTCTTGTAATTCTCTTTATTCAAATATATATATATATATATATTTTTTTTTTTTTGGACACACCCAGGATGGAGTACAGTGGCTTGATCATAGCTCACTGCAACCTCAAACTCCTGGGCTTAAAGACTCCTCCTGCTTCAGCCTCCCTCATAGCTAGGACTATAAGCACACACCACCATGCCTGGCTAATTTTTTTTTTTTCTTTTTACTTCCCACCCCTCCTTCTCTGGCTAATATTTAAAATATATTTGTAGAGACATGGTCTCACTCCCATCCTAAAGTGATCCTCCCTCCCAGGCAAAGTGATCGCCTCCCAAGGCGCTGGGATTATAGGTGTGAGCCACTACACCCGGTCTTGGTTCAAGTTTTAATTCTGCCACTTAACTTCTGTATGACATTGGGAAAGTCAGTCAAGTTCTCTGACTTTCAGTTTTCTTATTAAATGGGGTGATAATCCTTGTCCTATAAAGTTGTTAAGAGGTTTAAATAATATATATAAATGTTAAGTATAAAATTTTTGTTTGTTCAGACTGGCTAAAACACATAACCTCATTTCTTAGAATTGCTTTCCTTGGTTCACTGGAATCACCTTTTTATTACTACTTGACATTAATAGTTTCAGAGCTGACTAACCATTAATTGCTCCCGATTATTTACCCTGTGTTCTCCTAAAGAAGATAAGGCACAGCCAGGGATATCTATTGTCCTGATACTGTAACCATTCCTTTCAGAAGGAGACAGAATTATTCAGACATGGAGAAAGGCTTCCCAAATGCTTCCTGGGAGAATGCTCTAATCTGTTATGTCTCTACCAATTCCACAGCAGAGAAAATAGGGGATCAAAGAATTTTTAAAGGGAATGGAGAATGAATTGTCAATTTCATACATCTGGACTACAATTAAATCAATAAAGAGATCTCTAAATCAACCTAATAAAAATATATTCAAATATGATATGCACTGGGAGTCAATTTTTATTTTCTTCATCAGGAGATCCAAATTGAAATAAGGCCTTGTTTTTGTCATTCCCAAATGTATCTGCACATTAGGAATCACCTGGGATTTTAAAAATATTTCAAAACCTACGCCACACCTGCGATGGACTGAATTGTGTCTCTCAAACTTTGTATTTGGGGGTTGAAACCCTAACCCCCCATGTGACTGAATTTGGAGCTAGGGCCTTAAGGAGGTAATTAAGGTTACTTGTGGTCATACAGGTGGGGCCCTAATTCATAGGACTCGTGTCCTTATAAAAAGAGACACCAGAGATCTCTCTTTACACACATACACAAAGAAAAAGAGAGAGAGAAGGCCACATAAAGATACAGCAACAAGATGGCAGTCTGCAATCCAGAAAGAGAGGCCTCATCAGAAACCAACCCTGTTAGCATCTTGATCTTGGACTTCTAGAATCCAGAATTGTGAGAAAATAAATCTCTCTTGTTTAAGTCACCTAGTTGGTGCCATTTTGTTACGGCAGCCCCAAGCAATTAAATCACCTTCAGGTGGGACAGGGACATCAGTATTTTGGAAACTCTTAGGTGATCTAATGTCTGCACAGGCAAATTTAGGAACCAAAGCCGTATTTCATTTCAACTTTGGAACTGTGATGGACCTAGGCTTTTCTTTCCTGCTATTAGATTTGTAGAAAAACAAGAATAAAATCATCAGTAATTTATAGAACCCCAACAACACCTGCCTCAAAAATTATCTGGAAGGGTGTTACCACAGACATATCCTGGGAATAGCTGCCTTCCTCCAAAGTCCAACTCAGCTTTGCAGAGAATCCAGGCAGTATAGACTGTATTTCTGTGTGAGAAGAACAGCAACAAATTAGAACAAGCAGTTAGGATAAGCACCAGAATTTCTGGATTTATTAAACTGATAAGCCAAGAAGGCTTTTCCCTGATGAAAAGATTATCTGCAAAATTTAAAATCTGACTGGAAATGGCTATGCATCAGCAAATTGCTTGAACATTTAGAATTACTTTATGAGTTTAAGACATTTAATCTCATCTTTTCAATTTTTCACATTTGCTAAATCAATTTGTATTTTCAGTTAATTTCCACAAGGTCATGTCCAATACCAGAAATCTTCAGAACTGATAGTTCTGATATTGTTGTATTTTTAAATAAATCAATTCATTATTTAATAAACACAAATCTAGTAAGTGAACTAATTTAGAGCTGAAAACAGAAAAATTCAAGAATGACTTTCTCAAGCATGTACCTAACATAGCATGTTCTTTAATGAGGTAGTCTTTAATAAAGAAAACCAAACTCTTGCCAATTTAATTTGTGAATTAACCACTTGGTATATTTACATGTGCTGACTCAGAACTATATTTCTTCAAAGCATCAGTGAGTTCTGAATCATCATCAACAAAGAGAACATCAAAGTATGCACCACCTTTCCTCTTCTATAACCTGGAACTCATATAACAAAGGAAAAAAATCCAATCTCCCTCTTTATAAAATGCCATCCCTTATTTCTCCTCTATATTAGTATAATAATTGAAAACTAAATCGGAACAAAGATAAGTATCTCAGTGTCTGCACATTTTACTTTGTAAATGAGGTTGATGATGCTGGTATATAAGAATTCAACTTTAAAAATCTAATAATGATAAAAATATATCCTAAAATAACAGCAAAGGCATCCGTGCAATACTTCTAATAATGCTTTAACAACCTCAAAAAAGTATGGACTTTCACAAGTCATGTTCTAGCTATTAATATTAATGGGTAATATTTTTCTTGCCATTAGTTTGTTTTTCAAATTTAATTCAGTCACACAGCCATGGATAATATGTCAGCAAGGTTATGCTACATTGAAGTTTAATCAACTTGACACTGAACCAGGATGCCTTGAGTCAATCTTCAGCTTTACCACTGATCGACTTTCTGACTTAAGGTGAACCCCTTTTGTGTGATTCATTTACCTTTCTGTGAAATAAGGAAAAATTGTTCCTAAATCCTACTTTTCTTTGAAGACAGTTTTGAAAGCAGATAAACATGGATACATGAGAAAAGGTTTGTAAATAACTTTGAATTCTTCAGAAATATTAATGATAATTTAAAATAAATTGCATAATTATTTGGGGGAAATCAATTTCAATTGTCTCACTCCACATACCAAAAAGAAAAAAAAAAGACAGAAAGAAATCCAGATGGATTGACTAAAGTTAAATGTAAAAAGATAAAGCAACAGAACTAAATAAAAGCCTTCTCTTTCAAGATAAATTGAGCACATGCTGAAATTTCATCTATTCAAATATATAAAATGATAGAATATATATAAATCTTAATAAATATACAGTCATGGTGAAAAAAAAAAGAAACAGAAATCTTTATATACCAGAAATGGAAAGATAGTCTTCTTTCTCCATCTTCTAAAAGAACAACAAAAACAGAGCATGAGAAAGAATCCATAATGAACTAAAGATACACAATATTTGGCGCCTGGATTGGGAAAAAACATAGAGCTAATATTGCAACACTTACAGGTTTAAGAGCAAGAGCCACACAGACCACACGTAGAAGTCTAGGCAAGGTACCAAAACATGAACGAAGGCCAGAGATGAGCCATATGCCTTCCTGAATGTTGGTTAGACCAAGGGATACTGGTAGCTGCCTCACTGATTTGGGATGAGGGCCTCAAAGTCATTTCATGTAAGTCATGACAGGAGTCAGGACTATCCAATCTATTAAGATGCAGCAGCTTTGTGCTTTACCACTCATGCAAAGTTTAATCCAAGCTATATACCATGCAAGGCTAGGGCTCAGCAACCCAGAGAGCCTCCTACTGGACAGCTGTCAACACAAGATGTGCTCAGGTTAAACAGATCATGGATAATTAGCTCTTAACTAAAAATTACCAAGCAATGAAGATCAACACCATGGAAACTATGACAAATATCAACCAATAGCAGTTAAGCCTGAGGAAACAGAGTTAATAGAATAATCTGAGATTTTAAAATAAGTATCTATATTTTATACTTTCAAAGGGAAAAAATAAGCCGTGTAAAATGAATACACTGTCAGAAATTAAACTGAAAATAATGGAGGAAACCCTATTAGAAATCTTGGAAATTAAAGATACAGTGTTTGAAATTAAAACTCTATGGATGGTTAGACTGGATATAGTAAAAGAGCAAATTTAAAGGTTATCACATGAATGTTCATAGCAACATTACCCACAATAACTAAAAATGGAAACAATCCAAATGTCCCTGAAATGATGAATGGCTTAACAAAATGTGAAATATTATTCAGCATAAAAAGCATGTACTGTTACATGCTACAACATGAATAAACCTTGAAAAGATCATGTTTAAAGAAGCCAGACACAAAATGCCACACATTGTATGATTCCATGTATATGAGATGTCTAAAGTAAGCAAATCTAGAGACAGAAGGTAGATTAGCATTTGCCAAGACATAGGGAGTGAGGGTAAGTGAAGTGACTGCTAATGAGTACAGAGTTTCTTTTTCAGGGCATGAAAATGTACTGGAATTAGATAGTGATGATACTTATACAATTTGTAAATATACTAAAAACCTCTGATTTGTTTAAAAACCACTTTAAAGTGGTTGTGTTTATGGTATGTGAATTTTTTATTTTTCTTGAGACCGTGTCCAGCTAATTTTTCTTTTTCTTCTTTTTTTTTGAGACAGAGTCTCACTCTATTGCCCTGAGTAGAGGGCCATGGGGTTGGCCTAGCTCACAGCAACCTCAAACTCTAGGGCTCAAGCAATCTTCCTGTCTTGGCCTCCCAGAGTGCTAGGATTACAGGCATGAACGACTGCACCCAGCCAGGTATGTGAATTTTACATCAAGTAAAAGAAGAAAAGATGAAAGACATTAAAAATAGATCCAGAAGAAATAATGACTGAGAATTATCATAAAACAAAGACAGATATATAAACTATTTGAACAGCTTACCAAGTGTGAAGCAGGATAAATTTCTAAAAAACAAGACAAAAGAGAAAACTAAAAAAGCCACACAGTTAAACACATCACAATAAAACTCACATGAAAAGGATGAGAAAACCCTAAAATCTACCCAAAAAATTTAAATTAGCCCAAAAAAACCCCATGAGTTAGACTTCTCATCAACAATGCTAAATGCCAGAAGATAATCTAGTACTATCTTCAAAGTTCTGAAGAAAAGTAACTTTGAATATGGACTTTTGAGAGAGCTAAACTACCATTTAAAAATGAGAGACTTAAGATGTTTACCATCCACAAAACCTCACTGAAAGAACCACTAAAGAATCAACATGACCATTTAACCATGAGTTTACATTTTTGCTGAGATAGCATGGAGATAAGGAGAAAAAAGGAGAGATCATCATCAATATCAGACTAACTTTTCACATAGCTCTTCAATGGTTAGATAGAACATTTTCAATCACATAACACTGTGAACACACAGCAAAACCATATATTGGGGCTTCTTCTTCCAGAAATAATTAAATAACTGATACCAAATGAGCCCTTCCACCAAAAACTACTTAAAACTGGATAAAATACATGAGATAATTGTGTTTAGGCACTAGAAAATAGATAGCACAAGACTATGATCCTTGAGAGAAGGGAAACTCATGAGGTGAGCTCTATGATTGCCCTGGATATCTGCCTGGGGGAATTTTCCTGTCCACAGAACAGGGATATAGAACCCAAGCAAAGCACAGTGGTCCTACTAAGCTGAGGAGGTAGGGAATAGAGTTTGGGGTAGTGAAAGTACCTGGAATCTACAGAGCAGGGCACCAGAAAGGAGGAAGCTGTAGAGAGGAGGGCACCAAAGTCTATGTGGGAGTTCCCCATGAGTCCTTGGCCAAGGGCTGGGATATACATGCAACAGAGTGAGACTACGGAAGATTTCCCAAAGAGGAGGAGCTATGGGGCTGAAAATGGAACAAAATACTAGTGGTCAAACAGTAATGGGAAATGTTGGTCATCAGGCCTGGCCAGAATGGAGAGACCTTGTTAAAACTGCTGATGTCCAGCTGAGGTGCCACACAGATCATGCTTCAGTAATAAAAATCATTTCTCTAGACCCACCCTGAAAAAGTATAAAGCCATGCTTCACCAAAATCCACAGAGGAGATAGAGTTTGGAGGTTAAGTGTTATCAAGTTAGAAAAATGCCTTGGCTTTCCACAGATCTACCCTTTAAAATATATAAAAACAAGCCTGCATGAGGTCAAGATGATTAGTCGGTAGAACTTCCTGCTAGAACAAAAATTAGTACTCTTCAGAGGTAGATAGCAGAATACAGAATATTATCATATTGCCTAGCATAAAATAAAAATTTACTAGACATGCAACAAAACAGGGAAATGTAACCCACAGTAAAGAAAAAAAAAAAAACAATCAATAGAAACAGAACCTGATATGATAAATATGTTACATAATGAAAGACTTAAAAGCAACTATTATAAATATGTTCAAAGATTTAAAATTAAAAGATGGTCTTAATGAGTTAACTGATAGGAATTATCAGCAGAGAAATGAACACTATAAAAAGAAAACCAAATGAAAATTCTATAACTTAAAATTTCAATAACTGAAATGAAGAATTCACCAGATAGGTTTCACAGCAGAGCAGAGATGACAAAAGAGTCAATGAAATCACTAAAGACAAATAACAAAAATCCAATCTGAAGAACACAGAAAAAAGACTGAAGAAAAATAAAGTTTTAGGGACCTGTAGGAAAATATCAGCCAGTTTAAAATATGTGTAATGGGAGTTCCTGAAGGAAAATAAAATGAGAATAGGGAAGGAAAATATTATGAAATCATGAAAAAATTCTCTAAAATTTGATGAAAAAAATGTTTTATTTTCAATTTTTTTTTGTAGAGACAGAGGTCTTACATAAGTCTTATGTTGTCCAGGCTGGTCTCAAACTCCTGGTTAAGTACTGGCCTCAAGTAATCCTCCCACTTCAACCTCCCAACGTGCTGGGATCATAGGCATGAGCCACTGCACCTGGCCTTGATGAAAAATATTAAGATGTTAAGCACAGCAAGCCCCAAGGAGGATAAATACAAATAAAATTTTTAAAAATGCAAAAGAAATCACATCTAGATATGTAATAGTCAAAATGATAAAAACCAAAGATAAAGATGAAATCTTGAATGAATCCAGAGGAAAAGCATATATTACATACAGAAGAAGTATAATATGAATCACGGCTGACTTCTTATCATAAACAGGGAAGGCTAGAAGACCATGGACAACATCTTTTAAAATGTTAAAGGAAGGAAAGGAAAAAAACTATAGAGCTAGAATTCCATATTCAGTGCAAAGTTCTTTAAAAATAAGGGTAAGGTAAAGACATTGAAAGATAAACGAAAGATGAAATAAGTTCCTGCTAGAAGACCTGCACTACAAGAAATGCTAAAGGATTCTTATTAGGCTGAAGATGCAAACAGGAAGAAATGAAAAGCACCAGAAATCATAAATAAGTGGATAAATATGAAAGACTATTTTTTTCTCCTTGAATTTTTCTTAACAGACAACTAAACTGTTCAGAGCAAACATAACTACATTGTAAGGCAGGAATTATAACATTTAAAAAAGCACTCAAGGCCAGGCACGGCTCACGCCTGTAATCCTAGCACTCTGGGAGGCCGAGGCGGGTGGATTGCTCAAGGTCAGGAGTTCGAAACCAGCCTGAGCAAGAGCGAGACCCTGTCTCTACTAAAATTACAAAGAAATTAATTGGCCAACTAACATATATAGAAAAAATTAGCCGGTGGTGCATGCCTGTAGTCCCAGCTACTCAGGAGGCTGAGACAGAAGGATGCTTGAGCCCAGGATTTCAGTTTGCTTGTGAGCTAGGCTGACGCCATGGCAACTCACTCTAGCTTGGACCAAGTGAGATCTGTCTCAAAAAAAAAGCTCAAAATTGAGCGAATAGTTATTTTGTCTATACCTTCATCACACTATCTTGATTACTATAGCTTTATAATAAGTCTTGAAGCCAGGCACAGTCAGGTGGCTGAGGTGGGAAGATCACTTTAGGTGAGGAGTTTGAGATCAACCTGGCAAAAGAGAGTGAGATTCCTGTCTCTAAATAAAATAAGAAATATCAGAGGGGTGTGGTGGTATGACCTGTAGTCCCAGCTATAATACTTGGGAGGCTAAGGCAGGAGGATTGCTTGAGCCCAGGACTTTGAGTCTGCTGTGAGCTATGATCACACCACTGCACTCCAACCTGAGCAAGACCCCTATCTCAAAAATAAAAGTCTTGAAGTTCAGGTAATGTCAGTCCTCTGACTTTGTTCTTCAATATTGAGTTGGCTATTCTGGGTCTTTTGTCTCTCCATATAAACTTTAGAATCAGTTTGTCAATATCCACCGAATGATTTGCTGGAATTTTGATTGGGATTGCAATGAATTCACGGATAAAGCTGAGAAAAGCCAACAGCTTGACAATAATGACTCTTCCTATCCATGAATATAGAATATCTCTCCATTTATTTAGTTCTTCTTTGATATCTTCCATCAGAGCTTTGTAGTTTTCCTCATATCAATCTTATACATGTTTTGTTAGCTTTAAACCTAAGTATTTAATTTTTGGGATACTAATGTGAATGGTAATGTTTTTTTAAATAGCAGACTCCACTGTTCATTGCTGATATACTGGAAAGTGATTGACTGATATATACTAACCTTGTATCCTGCAACTTTACTATAATCACTTTAGTCCATATAATTTTTTAACCAGTTTTTCCTAAAAAAGTTGTTAATTTACAAATTTTACAAAATATATATTTTTTTTTTTAAAGGAAAGGAAGAAGGGAGGAAGGGTTAGGGGTCAAGAAGGGAGAGGGCAGTCTAAAATATTTTTTTTTTGAGAGACAGGATCTCCCTCTGTCCCTCACGTGGGAGTACAGTGGCATCATCATAGTTCACTGCAACTTCAAAATCCTGGGATCTGGTGATCCTCCTGCCTCAGCCTCTCTGGTAGCTGGGATTACAGGTACATGCCACCATCCCCAACTAATTTTTAAATTTTTGTAGAGACAGGGTCTTGCTATGTTGCTTAGACTGGTCTCAAACTCCCAAGCTTAAGCAATCCTCCTGCCTGAGCCTCCCAAAATGCTAGGATTACAGACAAGAGCCACTGAGCCAAGTCCAAAATAATTTTTTATAATAAAAGAAACTTTCCCCAACTAAATCTGAAATATTGGAAAATTTTTTTAAAAACTTATATTTGTCCTTGCTTTAAGAAAATATGCTGTTTCAAAATGGAAACAACCAAAAAGCTACA